TAGTTATGCGCAGAATTAATAGAAGAATTTTCTCATCAACATCAGACAAACTTCATCACATCAAAATTTAAATTCATGTTTGTGCCAAGAGAAAGGAAGGAAGAAGTGTAACTGATGTTGAATGTTCTCTCTTCCCAACCTACAACTTTGATTCACTTTTTGAATGTCAAGCTTAGAAATCAAGTTTGATTTATTTAGGTTCGCAGCCATTTGATATACGGTGACATCTCTATAGTGTAGAAATTTTAATTTGACTACCATTTATTCGCTCAATCAAGTATAATCAAGTAGAATGTATATACCCTCGATGCCAATATTTTTCTTGTTGGTATCTCTCCTCAGTCCCTAGTTTGAAGCCCATGTCTTTGTAGTCCATTCCATCAAATTTAGTTGATGTTTGGTCTGCCTCTCTTCAGAAGCGTCAATTCCGTTTCTTTTTTCAGATACAATTTTTCAAATCAGACAAGTAAGATATCATGGGTGCACATATTGACTCAAGTTCATCAGAGAAGAAATCAGGCAATGGAATGAATGACCTACCAACCTTCAATGCTGAGAATTTGCAACACAACATGAAAACTATCTATTACAGGTTTGTTTTGACTTTTTACGGTAAGCAAGTTCAACTATTTATCTAAAACATGCATATGACTAGAAGCGTCATGTTTGGGGTGGTGTTCCAAGTTTAAATTACATTGTATGACTTTATTTGCGAGAAACACTTGCCAGAGTGCATGAGATGTGTATATACGGATTAGTCATAGAGCAACGGGAGAGGGAAACATGATTCTTAGATGATATGAGTAATACTAAATCAAGATACCTTCTGTGGTGGTTTCTTTTGCAGCCGAACATTTATGTCTATAATTGGCGGAGTTGTTGCTGGAATTTTGGGGTTTACTGGATTGAAAGGATTTGTCTTTTACTTCCTTATCATGGCATTTACTTCCATTGGGCTCATAGCAAAAGCTAAATTTTCAATCCACTCATACTTTGACTCCTGGAACCGGGTGTTACTTGATGGCTTTTTTGGTGGTCTAATGGTACAATTTCTTATCATCTCTTTCTATCTCAGCATGATTTTTTGTATGAGATTTTTATTTCTAGGATGAAGAAGTATGCCCATGTAGATTGTTAAAGAAGTAGCCACAGAGAGGATATAATCCTCCAAATAAATAAAACAGAAAAACACAAACCACTTCAATCTTCATGATGAAATTTTAGCAAGGAATGCTTGTCTGATCTTCAGAACTACCATCTTTGTATTTTGTTAAATAGCTGGCTTGACACTTCACCATCACCTTATGATGATTGTGATATATCTTTTTTCTGTGGGTATGAGTGATCTTCCCTTAACCCCCTCCCCAACCCCCCTTTGTCGTGCATTGTTTGCATTTTTTAACATTTTTCCCTTTGAACTTTCTGCAGTCCTTCGTGCTGTTCTGGACGTATCCTTCTCATCTATAGTACGTGGTAAAGTATGGCTCCATATTTAAATAACTAGAACTTATTTTGTATTATGGTTTATAAGAGTAAACTATACACAACTCATCACATCTATAGCTTGATTACAACTTGTTAAGAAACTTTCAAATATGACACATTACATTACCCTCTAAACTATCTATAGTACGTGCATGTGAAAACATTGATGCGTCAGAGCCATGTGATTGTAACATGAAACATGTAAGTTATCATGTGACAATCACTTGGTTTGTTTGTTTTTTTTTCCCCCATGACATGTAATGTTTTCACGTTTTGTGGCAGTTATGTTTGAGTTCATGTATCAAAGTTGTTATAGACTATAGTTTAAGGAGGGTATATGGATTTTACCCAAATTTTAAATGCCCTAGGGCAGCCATTACCCATTGCCAGTGTCGTCAATAGGTATGATTACCTAGTGCATGCACTGTAGCTTTTGAAAACAAAAACAAAATTTATATAAACATATTTGATGAAAATATGGTGAAGACTTGGTAGTATGGGATACCAAGTCCCACATTGAATAGTATGAGATGTTCAATGGGGTATATAAGTGGGTTGGTTCTTTTACTCCAACAGTTAGCTTTTGGATTTCCGATCCCACTTAGGTACCTATCAATTGGTATTGGAGCCTCGTTGTTGGTGATTTCGAAAAGGGCTACCCACAAAGGGTTCTAACTAGAAGGAGATCGAGTTAAATGTTGTGGAGTGCAACCATTGGGTTCTATGGGGGGCCAATTAATGGAGACTTGGTAGTATGAAATACCAAGTCCCATATTAAGTAGTATGGGATGTTCAATGGGGTATATCAGTGGGTTGGTTCTCCCACTCTAACAGCTAGCTTTTAGGATAAGGTTTCCCATCCCACTTAGATACCCATCAAAATATGACAAAAGAGGGAAGAAAATAGTCATGACTAAAACTTTCCAAGAAAATAATATATCATCACTTAGCCAAAATAGACAGTACCCATGCAGGAAGCTCCATTCTCTGTATTCTTGTGATAGAAAAATTTCTCACATTACTAAAGCAGATGCTATTCTCACAACATTTAAAAAGGAGTCGTTCCATGGTGTCTCATTAAATTGTTATGTCATGGTCATTGACAAGACTGCCCATTCAACTTACGTTTGTATGGGTTGTGTGGGTATTAGTGACATTTTCCATAATAAAGCACAATTCAACCAAAATTTCTAAGCTTCCCTTGCTCTAATGATCATATTGTTGCTATTATTTATGTTCTTCCTTAACATAACGAAGATTTGCATATGACATTGTTCATATATTTTGATGGAGAGCCAAGTGGAAGGTCTCACGAGAAGGTATTTCGGTGGCCACTGCTTGTCACGATGCTTTTGCACCATTGCTTTTCTAGTCAGTTTTCATGATGTTGGCTTTTTCAAACGTTGTAATTTCTGTAGTTTATTTATATTATTATCATATAATGGAATCATAAGTAGATAGAATGGATAATTAGATCTTTGAATTGACATTTCTTCAGTTACACAGTTTTACTGAGATGATTTTTCTCAACGTCGTTGTGCCACGTAATACCTCGTGTGGGTAGACAGATAATATGTTCACATTTTCTTCCAAGCGTCTAGTTATTTGACGATAGAATCCATGTGTTGTGCGCGTAAACTGTGGAGATCAGGGTTATAATTGATACTGTTCGTTAGTGTTGATTTTTTCCCCCAACTTCATTAGTGTTGATTATTCCTAAGATCATATCAAGCAATAGTACTTTCAAATAATAGTTTTCTCTCTCTTTATTGGGAGAATTTTAGTAAAAGGCCACAATAGCTAAATAATTTAACATCAGGACCATTGGATTCTAGAATTTCACTGTAGGATCAAGGGATTAAATTAAAAATGTCTTAATAGAAAATGATTAAAATACCCTCCAATGTCTATTAAGGGAGGGAGCATGGTTTTGTACTAATCAAACTGTTGAATAAAGCTGGTAATTCAAGTCATGATTATTTCAACCAAGCTTAAAATGATGGATCATATAAAAAAGTTCACATATTCAAGTTCGGTCGTAAACATTTCAAGCTTTTTAAGTTTTTTGAATTGGTTTGAATGCTTGAATGGCTGAACCTTTTTTTATTTTATTTTTTTACTTCTTTTCAATTTTTACTTTAAAAAATTATAATTTTTTAAGCAATATATCTCTACATTACAACGCCATTTTTTTAATCCTTACTAATGTGACACCAAGTATTTAAAAAGTTTTAAAAAAAAAAAGAGTATGAGAAGTAATATTTTAAGTCTAAATTTCTTTAAAATTTTCAACAAAAAAAAATCTAAAACACAGTTATGGGAAAATTGAAACTTCATTTAGAAGTATAAAGTATGCAAACTAAGTATAGGGGAGGATCCGTGAATTTGAAATGAAGGTTAAAGTGAATGTTAATTTTATTTTGTTAATAAAAAATGAATTTAGGTGGACTTGGGTTCGGCTTGAATATATTTAAGTTTATTTGAGTGGCTTAAATAATTTTTTTAAGTTTGTTCAAACTGACACATCAATTTGACTTAAATTGTCAGCTCTATTAAAAAGTGCATTCAAGCTCATATTTTTTTTAGCCGAAAAGTCCATACTTATTTCAAATAATGAAATTCACAGCAAAATGATTTTGCAATGCTTAGTGATGGCCGTGATGGCCTTAAGGGGCAATTTATTTAAAATTAAAAAAATGTGATTTTAGTTAAATTTGATTCTTCGAATTGTTGGAGAAGAAATTAAGCTAATCATAAAAGTTTTGCTTTTATATATATAAATATATCCATTTTTTATCCAAATAAACTAACGCTTGTGTTAAGCTTAAATTCTCACAATAACTCCCGCATAGATTCTCACAAGTAACAACCTTCTCATGTTCAGTCTAATTAAAATCATTTTTTAAATCCCAGACATAAAGGTCCTATTGCTATGTAGATTATAGAGTATTCCTTTCCCCACTTTTTTTATCGTTCTCGTTTATAGAATAGTATTGTCCAACTCAACAGCTTAATGCAAGGCCTATTCTCAAGTGAAGAAAGAGACCCCTTACGTACAGGATGGAACCATTTCTAGACCTACTAGGAAGCCCACCCTTGGGTCCAACACACAGGCAACAACGATTCGTGATTATCCATGACGATAATGAAAATGACATTTGAGCATTTCGAACTTTGATTTTAGTAAACAAGATTAGATTATATGTCCTGTAGGTGCCACTTACAAGGATAATCATATCACTCATCGAAAGAGAGCAATGCAAGTCCTACATGTTTCAATTCTTCTTAACCTTTTGTCATCACAAAGTAAACGCCATGACATACTAAAACATTCTCAAACAAAACCTGGTTATAACCTTTTCCAGTTTTTGACTTAATCACTGTTCCTTTTACTTTGGCAAAAAGACAATTAAATATCTCTCTATCCATATTTGACCCTCTATAGGTGATCAAACATTCGAAGTCTTGATAGGGCTCCAGAAATATCAATGCATGACAACCAAATTATGTAAGGATAAGATGAACAACCACCAATCATATAAATCAAGAAGAAATTCTACCCACAATTTCAGTGTATCAGAAGTTGTAGTTCACGAGGACTCTATCTAGAGACTAAAATCCTAAGCAAAGGCCTATCACATAAAACTCAAGTTTAACACAATCTTCACCAGTACTTCAAGAGAGTTCTCCATAAATCACATTCAACAGACTAATCCATCAGACGAAACTAGTAAACGTAAAAGTACTGCATCATAACAATACAGAATATGGAAAAAGGACCCAAGAAGAAAAATTCCCACCAAGCATGTTGTACTTTCGATGGAGAGAGATTTTAAGAAGAGGGCAATATGTTGACTATGTTTGAGTAGCTAATCCCTTTAAGTGTGGTTGTAAACCCTATCGTTTGGAAGGTCTCTCATCATCCTCGCCACCGTCGTCGTTGTCGTCGCTGTCGTCTGAATCATCCTTGGACCTCTTTCTTTTTGAGGAAATCTCAGCCTTCTTAGCTTCCCCCTCATTGTCATCATCAACTTCATCTTCCTCCTCACCATTCTGCGCAGGCTCAAAATCACTTGATGCTTCCTCTTCCTCAGCAGTGCCTACAGGACGAACAAGGTACTCTGTCCCCAAATCCTCCTAAAAGTTTAAAAAGTGTTACAAGACTAGGGCAGTTTAAAAAGGGGAAGAGAAAGCCAAATAGAATAATTTAACGAAAAGTTGAAGGGGGGGAAATAAAAGCAGATAGGCGTATAGACAAGAAAACTTCAACTTTAACAGGCGTTCATTTTTCAAGTTCCTTGGCTCAGCCAGATCAATTAGGCTACAATTAAGCATGACATGATTATATATGCAATTTTAGATGTCAGTCCAATTCCATGATTCTCATTTCTCAAACCCCCCTTAAAAAGTAGGAATAAAACGGATAATAAAAATTCAGGTGACTCAGGTCCCAAAAAAAAATTCAGGTGACCAAACTAGCACATAATACCCAGTGCTCTGAATAATGAAACATGCACGGGTTTTATTAAAAAAAAAAAAAAAAGCAAATGTATGGATATTGAGAACCCTAGAGACGTAATTTAAGAAAACTCGAAATCTAAAATGGTCAAAAGCTATAATTATAAGCTCTCTCTCGCTCTCTCTCCCTCACCTTTTCGATCAGTGCCGGATTTATGACTCGCCAAGATAAATCACCGAGAAGATTGAGGATAACGAAGGAAAAGGACATGGCAGAAACTAGATTAGTCCTTCTCCCATCACTTTAAGGGAGAAACAAACAACGAAAGCGCACTCTAATTGAAGCTGAAACAGATTCAGAAAAGAAATTTGATGCACAGACAGGTTCTTCTAAGATCTAACCAGGATTTATCATTGGAAATGGTTGCAGAAATAAGCTAAAACGAATTCCGTTTTATTTTTATTTTTATTTTTTTCCCTTTCTTGTGATTTTCAATTGTTGCTCAGAGCTGACTGACAACATACTTGAAAGGAACCAAAAAGTTAAACAAATGAAAAGAAGAGAAGCGAATCGCATGAATTGCAGTAAATATTTCAGATTTGAAAATTCAGCAATTTTTAACTATTTCTGCAAAAACTAGGTAGGAAAAAGAGCAAATCTGAGTTAATTACCTCATCGTCGCCCTCTTCGTCGTCGTCCTCACCGTCGTCGTCGTCGTCGTCGTTATCATCGTCATCAGCACCAGCGTGTTGAGCGACATCACCTGCATCGTCATCGTCTTCTCCATCTTCGTCATCGTCGCCGTCCGGAGCGTCGTCATCGTCTTCTTCATCTTCATCCTCGTCATCAACCTCATTGTCCTCGTCCTCGTCCTCGTCATCATCGTCCTCGTCATCGTCATCATCTTCTCCATCTTCTACTTCATCCTCGGAGCCGTCATCTTCCTCATACTCGTCATCTTTTTCCTCCCGAACCGTGACCTCGTTTTCAGCCACGTGTTCCTTCAATTCTTCCGTAGCCTTCATCTCCAAATCGAAAAAACAGGAAAATCACACCACTTTCTCGAGAAAAAATCCTAACTTTCCAGGAAGAAACGAAAATCAATCGAAAATCGAGCAGGGAGGGAGGATAGGGGAGACAGAACGTTGATTCCAGCTTCTTCCTTCGTTTCACCAGTTAGCTCTGCAGCACTGATCTCATCCGTTGAAACGAGAATTCACGCGAATCGATGACGTGGCAATAGATCGACGGTTCCTGAGAAAGCATTGCGAGTTCAGTGCGGATGGCGTGATTGCGCATTGCGGCGCCCACGGATCAGTACTCCTATAATCATAGTCACGTGTATGTCACGTGAAAACGCATTCTCCTCGGTTAGGGTTTTTCTCTCGTGAATTTTTAATATTTTTTTAATGGACTGTTCATGAATGAGAAATTATAAAAATTTTTAACAAAATTAGTTGTGCTTTTCTACGAATCAATTGCATTTGGGGCCATCAAAAACAAGAAATTAACAAACAAGGTTAAATTGAATCTAAAGGCGGCAAGGCCTTGCTTGTACATGTGTAGGTGAAATGACTTATTTGCCCCCAGCATACTACTCTCTCATTTCTCTCACCTCTGATGCCATCCTTTTCGACGAGTACAACCTGCGCGCTGAATGGCTCATCCTGTCACAAAAAACAAGCGCAGCCATGGTTTCATGAATGCAATCTAGCTTTCCCAGGTCGTCTCCTCCTCCTACTCCAGCAGCTATTCACTCATAAATAACACTCTGTTTCTGTTCCTCACTCTGCTTCTCTTGTGGGTCATTTTGTGTTCTGATAAAAAACCCACAAAAATAGTCAACAATATCCCATATGGGATTCGATTATTATTTTTGGATCGGCCTGAATATCTGGGATTTGATTAGGTGGCAGTTTCATCCAGTGATTCCGGATTGAGTGGGGTGAAGGTTGAGAGAGAGAGAGGGAGAGAGCTGAGAATGAACAAGTGATGTGGAAAGGTGGATTGCAGCGGCGGTGAGAGAAATGAGAGTCGAACAGTCGGGTAGTGTGAGGGGCAAATAAGTCATTTTAGGTAAAAATACAATGCAAACAAGGCCTTTTGAAGTAATACTAGATTTTATTGGGTCTTTTTAATAAATTTCTTGCTTCGGAGGACCCTCAATGTAATTCTTTGTCTCTCTCTCTCTCTCTCTTTTTCCAACTTTTACTGTTGGTCAAGCTTCCAGATGCAAAGTTTAATACTTTCCATCTTTATGGGAGAAAAAAAAAAGAACGATTTATTTATCAAAAAAAAAAAAGAACGATTTAGTAGTTTCAACCCAAAGTCATTAGAATGAGTGGAAAAGGCTCGCGTCTATTAATTATATGCATAAAAAAATTGTTGAAAGATTTACTTCTTATTTTTAAAATTAAGAAAAAATATCTATATTAAATTATCTATTTTTAATACAAATCTATATTAATTCTCTTCATTTAGTAGTTTGGGATTTTTTGGGTGGAATGAAAAGAGTAAGATGCCATAGCTTGTAGATGTTAAACTATCATTAATAAGATTTTTTTAAGAGAGTGGAATGTCAACAGATATCTTGCAATAGGCAAGTATCGTGGTCTCTCCAGTTAAGAGTCTATGTAATTTTTTTTTTTTCTTTCTCCCCTACAGGGTCTAAAACTACATTATTTTGAGTTAAAAAGAAAAAAGAAATAGTAATCCATCATATTTATGCTTTAATAACTCTGCTTCATTAGTTGGGTAAGATAATAAATTGGCCTCTAAATTATAAACTAAAATTTTTAAGACTCTTGACTCATTTTTATTGTAAAGTTTCCCTTCAACTTTTAAAAATAGAGTAATGTAATCTTTATCATCAATGAAAGTTAACTTTGATTATTAATTGATTAAAAAATAATAAAAAAACTCAAAAATAAAAAAAAGATTAAAAAAATTATAGGAAATGATCCAAAAATTAAAGATAATGACCAAAATAACTAATTATGCATGCAAATTCATCACAAGGTTCAAAGTAATGCAAATTCTACACCAAAAATAGTAGAAAAAAGTAGAAGGAGAAGAAAGAAGAGAGAAAAAAGGGAGGCGAAGGAAGGTAGAGATAAAAAAACACATAAGGAAGGAGAGGCAAAAATACCTTAGTCAAATCTTTTTTTAATGATCAATGTTTTTCATATTTAACAATGTGATGACATTTGTAACACTAGCCTTGAGTGTTATCCAAAAATCACATAATTCAAACAAACTAAGTGTGGTTAAGGAGTTGATCCTCTAACCAACTTAAGAAATAAATCATTTAAAACCTTAAAAATAATTATAGGTTCTACCTATAGCGCACGGAAGCAAGTTAGACGAAAATGGAATAAAAAGATGCTGTCATGACAGTAATTTATTGCTGTCATGACAGCCCTCCTGGGCCAACTTCCAGGAGGCGGTGTTCCGTCATTCGACCTCCGATTGAAGTGATTTTAAAGCTCACACGTCACATTCAAAGGGTACTATAAGTGTACCAAATTTCAAAAAGATCCAACGGTCGGATTAAAAATTAGACATGTTAAAAGATTGACTATTTTTGCTGTCATGACAGCTAAAAAGCTGTCATGACAGCACTTCCGGACCAACTTCCGGAGTGCACCATTTCATCATCTGACCTCCGATCGGAGTGATTCCAAAGCCCACATGTCACTTTTAAAGAATACTATTAGCATACTAAATTTTGAAAAGATCCAACGGACGGATTGAATTTTGTGCAGGTTACAAATCAACACTGTAGCTGTCATGACAGCAATTTAATGCTGTCATGACAGCACCTCCAGACCAAATTCCGGAGTGCTTCGTTTCTCCGTCCGATATCCGATCGACGTGATTCCAAAGCCCACACGAAGCTTATAAAAGGTTTTACTTGTGACCCAAATTTTAGAGAAATCCAACGGTCGGATTAAGATTTGGACACCCGGATGCAAAAGTGCAGCTTTTTGGTAAAAAACCATTTTCAAAATTGTCCAAATCCCATCCTAATGGTCACAAACCTGTGGAAACACTTTGGACACGTCAAATAAGATTAAAAACAATTGATAGAACATTCAAATGATGGAAAACCCCCATACATCAAAATTTGACCACCCGGGTGCCATTTACTAAAATGGACCCTAAACCCCCAAAATGCACAAATCATACAAGAGTGGTCACAAATCAATCCAAATACCATGTATTTATATAAATACATATGCTAAACATTTTCACTTGGCTCAGAGCTCCTTGTGGGGCCCACGCACCCACTCTCTCTATCCAAGCTGTATGTTTTCCCATAGCACACCATTTGCAATGCAACCACTTTACATTTGCTTATAAAATCACATATATATCAAAATAAAGATCTGCTTGTAATAGAAACTTGGTCTACTAAGTAAATCCATCAAAACCACACACCATAACAAGTTTCCTAGCCACAAGTCTGCAAACAGACAAAAATTCATACACAAGCACACAATCCACACATATTCACACACACACACATAATCATATCCTACTGGCACCCTAATCTTAAATACATTACAATATATTTGCTCAAAAGAAAGGGGTTGCAGTTCTTTACAAATCACAAGCAAACCCCTAGCTTTGCTCTTTTCCCCGTCCACCACTGGATCCTTCGCCTGGACCTAGAATATTGAAAAGAAAGGGGTGAGACAACCACAGTCTCAGTAACAGTGAAATCTATATTGATTATTACAAAGTAAGCCATAATCAAATAAATGAATAATAAATTCAACATAGTATATAATTTAGCCATTTAAAATGCATGAATGCATGACCTAGGCCGGTATGGCCTTTCATGACCAACAGAATGCCCCCTGGCACTCTTTAACTCGCAGGTAAACCTTATACCTACTTGTACCTCCACAGGCACAAAACATAATCTAAGGCATGATCTAATCCACCGAACCGCCTATGCCCCTTCGACGTGAATCCTGAGCAGTCAAAGCTAACTCCCTCCCAGAGCCAGCCCGACTTACTCTCCATGTGAGGGCTACCTTGGCCTAGGCACTCAACCTCACACTTCATATGTCGGATTCCCTCCCCCACTGAGAGGTGTCGAACACTCAATACACTAACCACTTTAGTGCACTGAGCCCACAATACGTAAGACAACACTGAGTACTGACAGTGTGCCATAGAATCAAAAAAATCCACACCTTCTCATTGGTGAACTCCCACCGAGATCATGCCTTTTACTCTTGTCTACCTTTCCTGAGTATTGACCATTCAACACTCTAAAGTAGTATAATATTTATTATAAATCTCATTTCCATAAAAACATTGTTATTAAACAATTAGAAAACATATTTGCACTATAATCAAAGTAGTACCCCATAACCCCTTATAAAGCACATTTAATCTTTTAAAACATGTAATGCATGATAACTAGTAATATTTATTCAAAAATAGCTAAAACAAAGTAATAAGAAATATAAATTCCCCTGTTACCTCAACCCTTTGGTACTAAAAGGGTTCCCCTTGTACAAAATAGGGCTCGGCTTGTTCCTTACTTCTCAATAAGTTCCACCAACAATTTCTACAACATATAAGTGATCCACATCACTTATCATGACAAATAGCATTAATGAAGACTATAACTCATACCACACAACTTAGGTCAATGAGTCATAATCCACCCTAATGGTCCATATATTAAAACAACCATTCACATAGTATCACTTAACCACCAAAACCATTTATTAGCCATCACTAGGCTAATTTTCAATTTATATAATTTTTTAATCAATTAAAAACCTTTACTTAGTGCCACCAACTTTCACCATTAGCCCTTATAATGAAAACCAAACCTTAATTTAAATCTTATTGGGCTCAAATAGCAAAATTATAACTAAATCAATAGGCTTAAACCATTGAGGAGCAAAAACCCAATTTCTCAAGGTTTATTTTGTGCCCAAAACACCTCTTTTCATCCAATTATCCACTCAAAATATTAGATCACTATATAGAAACTCAAAACATGCTCCCTAGGATCCAAAGAAACAAAAGCTTACAAGAATAAAGCCTTTGGGATCAAAATCCAAAAATTTCCTCTCTTCCAAAAATTGAAGAAAATCAAGAGAAAGAGAAGAGGATTGAAGTAGGGAGTTTACCTATCGTGTAGCCGAGCTCGCAACGGTCGCAAAGACTCCTAGATCCAAGCCTAACTCCCTCCCTTTCTCTTCTCTTCTTCTCTCTCTCTCTCTCC